TGGTCGGAGAGATGAGTGTAGGTACATGTGCATGTATATGTGTATGTAGTACATGGACATGGACATGGAGGCGGACATGGAGCAGGGCGAGAGGCAAGTGCAAGTGCAAGTGGTGGGGGACGAGGAAGCAACGGCGGCCAAGCATCTACACATAGCCATCCATTTGACATGTGCAGGGGCCCAAAGCAGGAAGGCGCAACGGGGGCAGGGGCAGGCAGGGGCAGGCGGCCAATGGGAGGCGGACAGGAGGGGATTACGGGCACGGCGACTAGAGGGGCAGGCAGGGTGGAGTATGTACGTAGGTAGTATGGGACGGAGAGTAGGGGAGCAGGGAGCAGGGAGAAGACAGGCCAGCCAGCCAGCCAGCCAGTCATCCAGCCGGCCAGCCCATCCAGCCCATCCAGCCCATGCATACACAGCCGTTTGCGACACTTACCCGGGAACTTTCGGCACCAGAGGATTCGGCAGCCGGGCGCCGTCGGGCTGCACGCTCGGGGGCCGCGACGAGTAGGCCGTCGTCAGCGGCTGGGCAACGAAGCGCTCAAAGTACGAGCGCGGCCTCTTGGGCAGAGGCAGCGGCGGCGCAGGCGGTATCTTGGGCGACGACATGGCTGGCGCGCGACGGTGTTCGGCGCTCATCTGGGGCGTGCTATGCTATGCTAGTCTGTTTCTGCACGCGGTGCCAGAAGGCGAGTCGGGGCGAGGCGAGGGGGGAAAGTAGTGGAGGGGTGGTGGTGGCAGTGGTGCGGCAGCGCGAAGACAGACGGTGAAGCACAGGGCGGGCAGCAGTAGCGAAGCCGTGGGAGCAGCAGCAATGGCAGTAAGTAGAGTAGAGTACTAGCAGCACCAGTACCAGCATCAGCAGCAAAGGGCCGTGAGCTTATGGCGTGGTTGGCGGGCCCTGGGCTGGCCGGGTGGGCTGCGTGCTGGTGGGCTGGCGTGCCATGTACCGGACGACGGGGCAAAGCAAGTAGAGTAGTATACTACTACTACCCTATTGTATGTATGGCTGGATGGAGGTATACGTACATGATAAGTTGCAGAGATAGCCGTCTCCACCATGGTGCTGGTGCTGCTGCTGCTACTCTGCGCCTACTGCAGGCGGGTGGGCAGGCCAGGACTGGGCAGGACAGGGCAGGGCCGGGCAGTTGCATGCAGGAGAGAAACGCTAGGCGGCCCCATAATGACTTGTCGCGTCCCAGGTCGAGGTCCAGATGGAAATCGATCATCATGCACGGGCCGCCCGCCATCCCTGCTCTCAAGACGCCTCTTGCCCACGACGGAAAGCAACGCATGCGCCAATGTCACCGTGTTTCTCTCCTCCAGCATCGCCCTCCATCCAACCCAAGCAATCCCCTCCGCCCTATTCTTCTTCTTCTCCTTCTCCTTTGCCTCCTCCTCCTTCCTCTACCTCTTCCCTCCCCCTCCTCCGCTCCCGCCCCAACACCCTCTCCGATTGCGAGCTGCTCCCGCGTCTCATGCTCAAGTGGAGCGCGCGAGTCCGAGCCCGAGACACACACCATGGCCGAACCATTGCTGCTGCTCCACGCCGCCGACCCTTCGCCTTTTGACGACCTCGACGACGACCGTTGGGCCTATGCACGCTCTGTCCGCGCCGTCACGGCCATCCTGCAATATGCCTACCCCATCGTTATGCTTGTTTTCTTTCTGGCCGCCTTCACCACCCGCAGCATCGCCGCCTCCAAGTCTAATACTAATATCGCCAAACCTACTACAACCGGCCCTGGAGGCAAGCCGCTGCCCGCCACCGACCCAACCCGCAATTTTGTCAAGAGGACTGCCCACGACCATGTCACCCACGCCCAAAAGAGAGTTTTCGAATGGGTCTCTCTCGCCACTGCTTTTACCTTTGTCGGCAATTCCGTCCTCGTCGTCGCCCATGCCCTGGTCGAGAAACAGCAGCACTGGTGGGCTGGCAAAGCCGTCGTGGTATGTGCAACTCCACCACCCCAACCATCATGCCTCCTCCCCAAGGAAAATAAAAAATAAAAAAAAACTCAAAATGTCCCCGTCCTGACTCTACTAGATCTATCTCGTGGGCTCCTTCTTCGTCTACTGTCTGTTCCTCATCTCCCTCGTTGACTCGAAGCCCTCGCCCACAGAGGCCCATCTGGCAACATGGGTCCTAGCAACAGTACTGGAAATCGTCCTTGTCGCTCTCTCCTTCGCCATCTATACGCATCCCCACAAGGAGCCCACTGCAGGCCCGCCCCCGAAGCGCCTGCGCTTTGGAATGACTGACTGGGAGGCCGGCGAAGTCGCCATGGACCTGCTGCGCATTCTCTTGTTGCTTTCCCTTATCGGATTCTACGTCATGTTCGTCGTCATGCCCCAGCGAAAGGCGCACCAAGATACGGCTTCGCCGACTGAGAGCACGTCCTTGTTGGGTGGCGCCGATCAGAATGGTCATGCGGAAAATGGTCACACCAATGGTTCCTACGGCACCGTCCACCCAGTCGGTGGCAAACACCAGCACACCGAGGGTGCACCGCCCGCTTGGAGCAGACCCACGGGTGCGCCTGCCCGCAGCTGGTGGGAGTACATCAAGGGCTATCACGTGTTTTTCCCCTACCTCTGGCCTTCCAAGGACAGCAAGCTGCAACTCGTCGTTGTTGCTTGTTTTATGCTTGTTCTGGCTCAGCGCGTCGTCAATGTTCTTGTCCCGGATTTGACTGGTGAAATCGTCGACCGCCTCAAGGACCCCGAGAAGGGCAATCCATGGACTGCCATCATGGTCTACATTGCTTTTCGCTTTTTGCAGGGAAGCAATGGCCTGCTCGGCGCAGCCCGCTCAGCATTGTGGATTCCTGTCTCGCAGTACTCGTATCGTGAATTGTCCGTTGCGGCATTTGAGCACGTGCACAGCCTTAGTCTTGACTTCCACCTCGGCAAGAAGACCGGTGAGGTCCTGTCCGCGTTAGGAAAGGGCAGCTCCATCAACACCTTCCTTGAACAAGTCACCTTCTCCGTAGTGCCCATGCTCATCGATCTGGCCGTTGCCATCGCCTATTTCCTTGTCCGATTCGATGCTTACTACGCCCTCGTAATCGCCATTGTTACCTTTTGGTACATCTACCTGACGATTCGCATGGCCCAATGGCGCGCGGAAATCCGCCGTGAAATGGTCAATGCTGACCGAGAGGAAGATGCAGTCAAGTGAGTAGTCTTGGTATTTCTCTAGCTCCCCCTTAGCTGACGCCCCACAGAAATGACTCAATGGTATCCTATGAGACGGTCAAGTATTTCAACGCCGAAGCTTACGAGTTCAACCGTTACCGTGAAGCTGTCAGGAAGTACCAAAATGCAGAGTATAAGGTCATGCTCTCGCTGAACATTATGAACATTACCCAAAATATGGTCTTCATGGTGGGACTTCTCGTAACCTGCTTCATCGCAGCATACCAAGTTGCCATTGGCGATCTAGAGGTTGGCAAGTTTGTCACGCTCATCACATACATGGGCCAGCTGCAGAGTCCCCTCAACTTCTTCGGTACCTTCTACAGGATGATCCAGTCTGCTATGATCAATTCGGAGCGCATGCTTGAGCTCTTCAAGGAGCAGCCCACTGTAGTCGACAAGGAGAACGCGCAACCCTTGGTGACTTGCGAAGGTAACCTCCGCTTCCAGGATGTACACTTTGCCTACGACCAGCGTAAACCCGCATTGACCGGTCTCGATTTCCACTGCAAACCCGGTACGACGACTGCGTTTGTCGGTGAGTCTGGCGGTGGTAAATCGACCGTGTTCCGTCTGCTATACCGTTTCTACAACACCATGTCTGGCAGCATCCAAGTCGATGGACATGACGTAGAAGATTTGACCATCGATTCGGTCCGTAGCCATATCGGTGTCGTGCCCCAAGATACTGTCCTTTTCAACGAGACCCTCATGTATAACCTCAAGTATGCCAACCCAGAGGCAACAGACGAGGACGTGTACGAGGCATGCAAGGCTGCAAGCATCCACGACAAAATCATGACTTTCCCAGATAGATACAACACCAAGGTTGGTGACCGCGGTCTGCGGCTGTCAGGAGGTGAGAAACAACGCGTTGCCATTGCACGTACCATCTTGAAGAACCCGCGAATCATCATGCTTGATGAAGCAACGGCGGCGCTTGATACCGAAACGGAGCAGCATATCCAAGAGGCCTTTACAACGTTGGCAAAGGGCCGGACAATGCTCATAATTGCTCATCGTCTCAGTACCATTACCCACGCTGACCAGATTCTTGTTCTCCACAAGGGCAAGGTCCAAGAACGTGGAACACATGAGGAGCTCCTTGACCGAAATGGTCATTATGCTGCCATGTGGAAGAAGCAGATTCGTGCTCAGCGAGCAGCCGAGCAGGCTCAATACCTCAAAGACAAGGCCGATAGGCTCCGTCGGGAATCCAAGGATGGAAGCATTGGTCTCGAGGATGGAAGCAGTAGTCATTCCAGCTCTGATGACGAGAATGCGAGAAGGAGACGCTCGACAGCGCAGAATGGATCCCACCAAGATGGAAGCTCAAGCAAACCGCATGGGCACCCTTAGTCTGGTACATCTTTGGCTCACTGAGAAGTAGTCATTGACCACGTAACCCATCTGTTGTTGCATTATCAAACATTGTCAATCGACACACCGTTGTCAAGGATCTGGCCAACCAAGAATACTGGTCTTCAACAGTTGCCATGTGCATCTCATCTCTCTGGAAACGACTTCTTCCTGTTTATTTTGAAAACCAGGTTCGACTTTTTTTTCCATCAGTCACGCCCCCCATGTCTCTCTCACTCTCTATCTCGCGATGTTACCCCACCCAAATAGACGCCTTTCACTTTATTTTCCAACTGGAGTTTCCCAAGATGCCCGTCGGATGTCTGCTATATACTTTTTGCACCGGGGAAATAAAAGAAAACGAAAAATGCTTCGAATCAAGTCAGTTATGCGGAAATGGACATATATATATACCTGTGGAGGAAATGGGATTGGATCACTTTATGTTTGTTTATGTTGTTTGTTTGGGAGTCTGTCAACCTCCCCTCCGCTCTATTCCCGTTTTTTTTGAAACTTCTTTTCCTTCCTTTCCACGCTCTTCCCCTCTTCGCGAATGGGACAAGAAAAGAAAAGAAAGACGAAGAAAAGAAAAAACAAAGTTGTGTATGTTTGGAAATGGAGGCAAATTCGCTGTTGTTTTTATATACCAAAGACGAATACGCACACGCGCATCGGGCGGCCGGGGAAGGAAAGGGGTTATGCGTATTTTGTTTTGTTTACAGTCTGGTCTCGCTCTTTTGCTTTCTCCCCCCCTCTCTCTCTCTCGCCTTTTATTCTTACTTTGGGCGATAGCGGGAGACGAAGCGAAAAAGGGCTTCTTGTCATGTCGCACGGCACACACGAAAATGAAGAAATGATTTGATGTGTATAAAAATCATGGTGGCATGAGTTTTTGTTGATGTTGTTTTTTTATTTGGTTCTGTTCATCCCCAATCCCCTCTTATTTACTACTACCTTTTAGCTTTTCTTCGTAATGGCGTCAATCATGGGGCTTTGGCATAGAAGTCATGTGTGTTTAATCTTTTTGTGTAAAACAAAAAAAAGGTGTCATCTAGTTGGCTTCTTTCACTATTTCATACGTGGCAGATGGAGAAATCAATACAAAAAAAACTTACAGAAATTGCTTCTAGAACCTTGTCTGTGTGATTATAATGTCCTAGTCATGAATATACATGTGGACATGGTTTTTTCTTCAAGGAACTTCCCTGTGCGCCTTGGTCATCAGTATCCTGGCAGGTGGCAAACAAAAAAGACACGTGTGTAATAGTAGTATCATTGTCTCATGCTCTATGCATTACGGCATTCGTATGCGTCTCTCAACTATGTGATTACGTATAGGCTGACTCGCGTTGCCTGTCAAGGTTACATGACCCCACCAGCCCCAAGCCAGGATATACATGGACTGACAAGTGACACAGCATATTTGTCCAGTGCCACACATGCTTCACACTCGGCGCGAGCTACCCCACAATTATTCCTCCATCTCAACGTCGTCGCCACCACTAGCATGGCCACTTTGTCGCACATTTGACTTGGGTACTGAAGCTTCCTTGTCAATCATTTGCCGTGAGACAGACACAATGTTGTCTTCGATCAGTTGCTGTCCGACGTCCGAGATGTCTGTCATCTTTTGTTAGTGAAAAATCCTATTGCATCACACACACGAGTAAACATACGCTTCTTCGGGTCCACCTTTCCGACATATCGTGTCTTCAGTTGCTCCTTTGTCAACTCCGTCTCTTCCTTGACTCGCTTCTCGTAACCGTCCGCCAATGTGACCAGCTTCTGCAGCCTATCCACGTTCCGCTCACCCTCGCTCTTGAAATCGTCCATGAGAAGTGCCTCGGTCCATACGTGCTTGTGCAGGTTCATCAACATGTTCTCCTCCAGTGCAGTCTTTCGGTAGTTGATACCAATCGAATAGTAGTGACGGTTCAGGCCGTGAATGAGGGCTTGGATCGAGGGCTTGTTGAGGTGGCCAACGTTGGATGTGGTTTGGCGGGGCTCGTGGCCCATCATGAGCGTTTGCGGGTTGATTAAGCGAAAGGCATCAATGACGACTTTGCCCTTGACGGACTGGATGGGGTCGACTACGACGGCGACAGCACGGGGTGTGAGCTGTTCGAATGATTGCTGTGTATTGATATCGACTGACGATAACCAGCAGCCGAAACCGGGATGTGAATGGTACCACCCGACAACGGTTTCTTGCCTGTGTTTGTCAGCGACTCATTGCACTGTATGAGAGTCTGTGGCGACCCCGATTGCCCAATGCTTGACTGCATACCTTCCTGTTTGGCGAAGCATGTCCATCATCTTAGTCTGGAAGACGGGGTCTACAGCCTCGACGGAGACACCAGTTCCGGACTGCGGCATGGCAAACACGTCCACCACCCGTACTGTGTAGTCGTCGACGAACTCTCCCAACATCAGTCCCATGACTTCCATAGGCACACCGGCCCGGCCGTGTCGCAACATCTTGAGTAGGGCGAGCGAAGAGATGTAGACGGTTTCCGAGTTGTCGATGAGGTTGGTGTCCGCCTGCGGCCCTCCCATGCCACCCATGCCTTGAGCGGCGGCGAGCATTCTGCTTAACCGGTCCATAGTGGGGGTGTTGGAAATAGGTCTTCTCGATGAGGCGTATTCAAAGGGCTTGAGACAAAGACGGAATTGTCCGCCACGAGTAAGTGAAGTGGTTGTTTGGGTAAGGCGGCGGCGAGGGCGATGATGGCTTCGAGCTATCGATGCTCGGAGCTTCACGTAACTGCGCGACTGCCATATCCGGCGATGATGTTGTTCCGGTACCGGCACTAAGCAGGGGTACCCCGGCGCAGCTCGAATGCTCCATGCCCGCGTCTTTGTTCAAAGCTTCCCCATCTCTCGTCCAGGCCCCTCCACTTTTTCCTGACCCTTCAGTTTCGAGGACTCCATAAACTCTCACACCCTTCGCGCCTACCAAGATCCGCTTGGTTTTCTCCCCAGAGCTTTGAGAGCATCCCAATCAACACAAGATAGTCACGTAGCTGCGCGCAGCCACCACAAACATGGTGGACGGAAACGACATGGCAGGCCCAACTGGCGCTGTCCACATAAATAACGGCACCGCTTCGCAGCCAAAGAAGGTCGCATACTTTTACGACTCCGACGTCGGTAACTACGCCTATGTTGCGGGGCATCCCATGAAGCCGCATCGTATACGAATGGCGCATAGTCTCATTATGAATTACGGCCTCTACACAAAGATGGAGATCTACGTAGGTGGACCCTGAATGTCATTCCTCAAGACAATTTCTGACAAGACCTAGCGCGCAAAACCCGCCTCCAAGTACGAGATGACGCAGTTCCACACGGACGAGTACATCGAATTCCTGCACAAGGTCACGCCAGACAATATGGAGCAATTCACCCGCGAGCAAAGTAAATACAACGTCGGAGACGATTGCCCTGTATTTGACGGCCTCTTTGAATTTTGTGGTATCAGCGCTGGCGGTACCATGGAGGGCGCCGCTCGCCTGAACCGAGGGAAATGTGACGTCGCTGTAAACTGGGCTGGTGGTCTACATCACGCGAAAAAGAGCGAGGCCAGTGGATTCTGCTATGTCAATGATATTGTCCTCGGAATCATTGAGTTGCTCAGGTATAAGCAGCGTGTTCTTTACATCGACATCGACGTCCACCACGGAGATGGTGTTGAAGAGGCCTTTTATACTACCGATCGTGTCATGACCGTCTCATTCCACAAATATGGAGAGTACTTTCCAGGTACTGGCGAACTTCGCGACATTGGCGTTGGCAGTGGCAAAAACTACTCCGTCAACTTCCCCCTCCGAGACGGTATCACCGACGAGACATACCGAAACATCTTTGAGCCTGTCATCGAAGCAGTAATGACTTATTATGGACCTGAAGCCATCGTTCTACAATGCGGTGGTGACAGTCTTTCGGGAGATAGGCTCGGTTGCTTCAACCTGAGCATGGACGGACATGCCAACTGTGTCAGGTACGTCAAGAGCTTTGGTGTACCAGTCATCGTCCTAGGAGGTGGCGGTTACACCATGAGGAATGTCGCGCGAACCTGGGCATACGAGACTGGAGAGCTTGTTTCGCAGAAAATGTCCAAGCAGCTACCTTTCAACGACTATTACGAGTACTTTGCGCCCGACTACGAACTGGATGTCCGGCCATCAAATATGGAAAACGCCAACTCTCACGACTATTTGCATAAGATCAAATCGGCTGTTATTGAGAATATTCGCAGAACAGGACGACCATCCGTCGAGGCTTTCACAACAATTCCGGATGTGCCCACGGCTCTGGGTCGTGCTATGGACTCTGATGCTGAAGACGAAGAAGACGATATGGATGCGGACGAAAACCGAGATGTGCGCATGACGCAGCGCCAGCGTGATAAGCAGATTGAGCATGACGGTGAACTCTACGATGCAAGCGATGATGAGGATTACAAGAACAACCTCGGAGTGCGCGCTCAGCCCGGTGTCAAGAAGAGACGAAATATTACTGACTTCCCCAACCCTAATGCAGCCCCAGCTGATGCCCTGGATCTCATGGAAGACATCAATGGCGGAAGCGCTGTTTCGACTCGACAACCCTCTGCAGGCGCAAAGTCGCGTACACAGACGCCTGCTGCTGCTGAGCAGGAGGTTGATAAAGATGGTGATGTTGACATGGACGCACCCGTCCCTGAGTCTGCCCCTGAACCTGTTCCCGAGGCCGCCCTCGAGACTGCCCCTGAGACTGCTCCGGCGGCTGCTCCTCCGGCCGCCATTGAGACCACCGATACTGCCGCTCCTGCTACTGCACCCGAGCGGGAACCATCTCCTGCAGGTGTTGTAACCCCACCTGAGTCACCACCCACTGCTGTGCCTGCTACAATGGCACCCACATCAGCCCCAGTTGCTGACGTGGAAATGGCAGAAACTGATGACAAGGAAGAGACTTCCGCGGCAAAAGAGGAGGGCGAAGCGGAACGTGACACTGAAAACGTTAAGGGTGAAGTCAGGGCGGAGGTCGCTAAGGATTAGATGTCTTCAAGAGTACGCCTCCAACGCATGACGGGTGGTAAATGGTTGCATTCGAGAGGCGTTTATTTCTGGTCGCGTTCCTTTTCCTTCGTGGCATTGGAAAGGTAGCGGGATGGGTGTTTTTGGTGTGCATGGATTTTCATTGGATATTGGGGATACCTTTTGTATGTCTGTTTCGTTCTTTTTCTTACTTATACCTCTGATCTAAGTATATATGAATGATTGGCTGTTTTTTCTGGCTATGTAACTCGTTACTGAGAATCAATTCTTATTCTAATTACATACCATGCGTCTTGTGGGGGGTTTTGTAGAAAGCATATTGCTAGTGGGCTCAGAAATCCTCATCTCACCCTTCAACATCCCACACCAGGTCTGTGCCACTATGGATTTTGGCATCCCTCTTCTTTCTTCTTTCCTCCACACGCATCCACAGACTCCTCTTCTCCCTCTACTATCGCCTAAAATACGCGTTCCGCAACAGATGCAAGCCCGTTAATCGAATCCTCACAATGCCCATCGTGACCAATGTACTCAATGAGCACATGCATACGCGATTCTGTAGGCATTCCCGACACATAACTCGTTGACCCATCTTGCACCACGAGAGAGATTTTGCGAACCAGCTTGGTTTCACCAGAGGGACTTTGCATGGGAAAATGTGATAATCGGGACGCTGATTTGGAGAGAGTTGACATCGGGTGAGTTCAGGTAATGAAGCGCGAGTAGGGCGAGGGTTTCTTAAGAAGGGAGAATTGTTAGTGTCGTACGGAGATCAGGGGAAAAATATCAAAGGGTGTACAGAATAGATATCTCGTTCACGGTCTTTTCACTGGTACCATGTGGAGCGAGGATCAGGTTGGTTTTAGAGAGGATGTGTGTGTATAGGGTGGTCATGGGGCTGTCTGCCATTTCTGCTTGTGGGTGTGGGGGGATTCTGGAATTGGGTTGGAGTACGTTTGGTGGTTAAGAAGATACTAAGAAAATACGTGTTGGACTATGATAAAGTAGTCGATCTTCATGCTGTTATTTGTTTCTCTTCAAGATTTTGGATCAAGTTTGCCATAGTACTTTATCAGTGTTCCCGTTGTCTGGAACAAAGAACTGTTCGTTGGTATTAACATGACATGGGTGCACACATAAAACATCAAACTGCAGTATGTCACTAAGTCATCGCTAATTCTAATTCTAATGTCGAGTTGTGTCAATACATCAGCATATTTATTTCAGTGGCTACTGCCCACTTTTCGTATATCTCATCGAGATTATAGCACCAATGTCATCTCATCCAGATCAATGTCCAGCCCACAGCTCAGTTGGGGAATTTGAGTATAATTACTTTCATCCAGAAGCTTTCTTGTATATTTGAGGGTCTATAACCAGTCAGCAACGCACAATATTTTAACATAGAAAACATACCTCAGCATAGCTTGGGCGTTCCGTAGTCTTCATCATCTCTAGAAACGCCCAAGTCATGGCCCCGGTTGCACGGCCTTGAATATGCGCATCAGCACTTGTCTGCTCATCTTTACAACCAGAGAACATGGTGACCATTTTCCGTTCATGACCATATTGGTCAGCAAACTCTCCGTCTTCAAGCCCTTCCTCTTGCTCTTCGCCCATATGTCTGAGGCCCTTGAAAAAGCTGCTGGCTCCGGCAAGAAGCTGTTGCGCCTCGCCGACCTTATCGAACGTAAAGCCACCTGAGATGATATCGCGAGCTTCTTCTGCAAGGTGGAGACCCGTCTTCAGATTGTCCATGAGACTGATCTGCCCATCACTGTCGGAGCGGTAAACATAGGGGAGTTCTAGCGCGCTTCCAGAGTGGCAGCAGTCCATGATTACGAAGAGTGTACAATCACGTGCCATGCGAGTGACAAGATGCTGGTGCAGAATCGTACTCGAAATCTGACCTCTTTGCTCAAAGTCGATGGGGACAAGGGATGTATCCAGACCCGTCGTCCTGTTTCCATCCGTATCCGCAACTTGGCCGCCGTGGCCTGAGTAGTGAAGGAAGAGAGTGCATCCAGGTTCCGAGACGAGCCAGTCCATTGCTGCAAGGATGTTGTGGCCGTTGGGGTAGTAGGGAGAGTCGGGTGGGACTTCAGGGCGGTCGGTCAGAATTACACGGTTCTTTGGAGAGTTGTCGTAGCCACGGTAGTAAAGGAACTCAGCCATGTTGTCTACATCGGCGTGGCAGCCGCGTAGTTCGTGGCTACTGCCGACATAATTAATACCGATGAGCAGGCTCTTCTTGCGTTGGTAGGCCATTTTGAAGGAGTTTGAGATGTGAGATATGAGTGTGGCTGAGGAATTGGGGACTTGGGTTTATACTACAATAGTGGCGGAGGGGTGGCGTTGAAGCTGGAGTGTTAAGCGGTTGAGAGGGGTCGATGAATGATGTGGCCGATCCCTGCCCAATCAACGCATGTGAAGCATGTTAATTGACGCGTCCCGTCCCGGCCACGTGCACGCGCGATCGACCGTCGCTAGCAAATGTCTTGCAGCACATATCAGCCCGTACCACCTCTAATATACACAATGGTACATGACGTCACATACTAT